TATCTTGCGCTGCACTTTTACAGGAAAAAAATATCTGTCTCGTTCGCCTGGGCGGAAAAAAAATTCTTGCACAGACTGAATCTTCCACCCCCCCCCTCAAAAATCAAATGGTCCGCCCCTAAAGACGTCAGTTTCAAAATTGCGTTCGGCTTTTTTCTAATCATTTAATTTGGATATTTTTTTAAAATAATAAGGAGCAATTCACTCAAACGATTCAGAAATATATTGCAGTCGTCTAAGAAATGACCATATCAGCAAAATGACGAAATAAACAAAAATTCCCGAACACTATTTTTTTAGAACAACTATTTTACTGTATAAAAATGATATTTTCACTAATAATAAAGTAATATATCTTAAAACCAGCAGGAAAACAACTCAAAAGCGCAAAGCCAAAGGTTCCGCGATTTAAGATTATCCTGAATAATTCTTACATTATTTTATTGTTTGTCAATTTTACAACTTTATCATATTTTGCATGCACTGGCGAGCATTTGGTGAAAATTTGATGAACATCGGATTGATATTGAGCGCGCAGTAGCAATTTTCTGCAAATCGCCCAAAAGGACACCCCTGCATGTAACCTTAATTATTAAAGTTGACTAGAACTCCATATTATATCTTAAAAAAATCATTAATAATTCACGAGGAAAATAGGCTACAAAAGAAATGAATTACATAAACTTCAGCTTTGATTTTCTCGGCTTAGACAATGTCAATGTTTATTTTCAAAATTACTTTGCCAATGAACTCATAAGATGGGTCATTTTTTTCGCATCCGATCTTTATTACCCTGGATTCCAGAGCCTTCGACAGTAAATAATAAATTGAAACGTCGCGAAGGCTCTGGTTCAACGGGGAGATTCAGGCCTGGGGGAGATTCTTTGATCAAAGTCGGTACAGATTCTGTACTAAAACAACTAATTCTGTTTTGTGATTGGCGCGGTTTAAGTCAACGAATCTCCCCGTTGAACCAGAGCCTTCGCGACGTTTCAATTTATTATTTATTGTCGAAGGCTCTGGAATCCAGGGTCAGTATATCAGATACAGATCGGCTGCTCATGTTTTATCTAGTACTTGTGAAATTCATTAATAATTCATTGCAAAAAACTCAAAAGAAATCCGTGGTGTGAAGGAGTTTGTATATCTGATACACAATCATGCTGATTTACATAAACGTTAAGGTGATTAATCAGTATAATTGTTCTGGAAATGAGAATTTGCTGACACTTTTTTGTCCGACAATATGACGGCAATCCTCGTGATTTGTTCGATTGCATGTTAAATACAATATATTGGCCGGTTCACGAAATGTTAGAGAGTGCTCGCGCGACATCATGAAATGCAGAGCAAATAGTACTTATTATAGTTTGGATGTTTCATCCAGTGGAGATAGTGTGGAATATGAACTATCTATTCACTAAATGTATCCGCGACGCAAGACCTTGATAAACTATAAATTTAAAAACAGATAACAGATAAACAGATATTTAACTCAAGCTTCTCATTTAATTATTAATAGCAAATACTCTCCTACAAATATTGAATGTAACATAACCTCACTTTTTGTAAATACTTAGAACCGATGACAATTTAACTATATATATTAATAGCACCAAGACTTTAAACTAGGGGTCTAAATCCAAAAGCCTGTTCAAGGTTTCTATAGACTCCTAACCCAAATGTATCTACTTTATTTTTATTTTTTTTAATATGTAACATAATGGTATATCACATGGGCAAATCATTAAATAAAACTGAAAAAATAAAAAAACTATCCTTATATAACTATCCTTATATAACTATCCTTTATATAACTATCCTTATTTGGCTAGTAATTCCGGACGAAGGACCTTCGCTCGAAACGTCAAAATTCTCGGCCTTATATTTTTAAGGTAGTTGCATCCTTACCAACGAAAGCTTGTTAATATCCTTATAACTATCCTTATATAGATGCACACAAAGAAATAGGAATATTGCGTTTTATATAATACCTTATTGAATTCTGATCGTTTAATTGGCTGTTTATGGTCACGTGATATTGAATAGAAAATTCCATTTCCCAAGAGTGCAATGG